GAGCCATCCCCTCCCTCTCTCCTTCCTCGCTCCTATCGCTGGCAAACATGGGGCTGTTCCCTATTCCACTTCACACACAGAAATCGTCACTTAACTTCCCATTATTCCGAAACTGATATTTGGCTCAGAGCAAACACCAAGAGGAGTAAAAGCCCTGGATAAGAAATCCGTATCTCCGTGACACTGCTGGTTGAATTTATTCATATCTTAATTATTTTTTACATCAGTTTAAGAAATTCTTTTTTTTGTTTAAAAAAAGGACAAAACCCTCCAAAGAAGCTGTTTGATTGGACTGATTGGTCAATTGATTCTCTATTTCATGTGAACTAGTCGCTATTCTGCTTAGAGGTCCCTATGATCTGTGAATCCCCACAAGTACTGACGATTAAGGATGCAGAGATAGAGAAGCGTGTAGCTGGGGGACGAACACCAGGGGAGGGGGGGATGGAGAACCGAACGTCGCATCTAGACAAACAAAATAAAATGTGTTGGTTGGTTGGTCGATTGGTTGGTTTGTTAACAGGAATCAGGTGCTAGATGTGTAGAAAAGCCCTTTATCCAGAGATCTCCTCCCGCTGTTCCTTGTTCCTGCGAACTTCAGCTGCATGCAGTTCCTGCAAAGACGGGAGAGACGACACCAGGGTAACACTTTCTGCTCTGGCACTCTCCTCCTCTCCTGCACACAGGATTTGCGTCAGGACAAACAAAAAAAGTGACCAGGTTCCCATCCAGCACCCTGAGGACAGCGGGTTACACCTGCAAGGAGCGAAGCGTCTCCTCCGCGGGAGCCCGGCGGTGACACAAACCTACAGCGAACGAGCTCGCGGGTCCCCTCGTCTGCAAATCCCCTCGGCCACGCAGCCCCTGCGCACGGTGGGCCGGATCCTGTCCTTTGAGCTTGCACTTATCGAGATCAGCCAGACGGTATTTTGTCTACTGACCTTGAAGGACACATCCCCCCTCCTCGTGGTGGATGGATGTGGACCCTCCACAGCCGGTGTTCCACCAGCAAGGAAACGCCCGCTGCCCTGTGCCCATCGCTCCGGGATGAAGAATCGGGGGAGGGGGGAAGGACAGACCCCTGAAGGAATCACCCCTGACTCACCATCTGAGAAATAAAGGCAGCCCTGTGACACCCCCCCCCGCCGCCTGTGCGCCGGGACCGGCCGTTACACCCCGGGGGGGACACACAGAAAGACCCGCAGTGACACCCTCGTCCTCACGCGCTTTTGGTCTGGCCTGTCCGGAGAGAAAAAGTACGTGGTAGGTGTGTCCAACGCGCTGCTGATGGGTTAAAATAAGAAACGGCGTCCTGCGAGGAGAGGCAGCTCCTCTGGATCCGTAAGGAAAAGTAAAACACGGAACCTCCGGGTGACTGTTTAGGAGATTGTGTCGATGAAGATCAGGCCCCCGCTCTCCTGAAGCAAGACGACGACTCAACCACAGCCGCGTCGGAACGGGCACCCTTAAAACTCACGAGGGTAAAAGATCACTGCAAACCTCAGCGCTAAAATTTACTTCAGAAGCGCCCGCACTCACACTTGCCAACAGATACGGGGTTTTGAGAACATATTTATGCCAGTGGACAAAATCCTTGAACTGAGGTAGGACAGACCGTGACGTGGCCAACAAGTCCCTTCCAGGAAAGACTTTATGTCTTCCAGTGCACCGTGCATGCGTTTTAAGAACAATTAGACGGGAAATGGTGAACTTCTAATTTAAGCATCGATTTGCATTTTGTACTTCTGCTAAGTTAGTAAAAATAAATTCAGCTTCCACTGAGCAAATATTGTGTATGTGCATAAATCAGCGAGGCCGCCTGTCTCCGTTCCCGCTATCCGTCTCCGTTCCCGCTGTCTCCCCTCCCAAGGGACTTTGTGGCAAAGCATCGCTTTGGTCTCAGAGATGCAACGAGAGCTTTTTCTCGCTGCTGAGTAGAGGATTAAGCCCGGCTGCTCGCTCAGCATCAAGCCACCGGGAGGATCTGGGTGCTCCTGGTTGCTTTCCCTCGAGCGACTCATTTCCTGTGCTCCCTCTAGTGCTGCACGGTACCTCCTGCATTTCCCTGGCCCTGCTGCCTTGCCTGAGCGCTACAGACCACATTTCTTCATGCAGAGGGTTTGTTTGTCTCCAAGTTAACCCCTGGAGACACCGTCCAGCTGCTCCCCGAGCAGTTGGGGAGCAGGAGATGGAGGAACTGCCGGGGACGGGTGCGGTGCGCAAGCAACGGGAACCATCCTCCCGCTTGCGATGTGCCTGGCCAGTGGGCCTCACCCATTCATTCACTAAAAAGTTTCGTTCTCTGCTTCCTAACCAGATAACATGAAACTGTAGAGCGTTTGAGCAGCCTGTCTTTTTGTTCAGTGTTTCATGACGTCCAGCAGAAGAGAGAGAGGCCATTTAGGCACAACACCGATACAGAGTCATTTATGATGAACCAGAGGCACAGCAAGACTAATTTATGTGAATTCAGGCAATTTAAATGGATGAGACTGGATGGGCTATGGCTGACAGCAAGGTCAAAGGAAGGTTATTACAAGAAAATAATTTGGTTTGCAAAGATAACTTCGGAGAAGTGAAAAATTGCTTCCATAAAGAATATTATATCATGAAAAAAAAAAAATGAGAACAGTCCGATTATAGAAAGAACCAAAGCACAAACAGAAGGCAGAGAAACGAGAGGGACTGGGAACCGAGTCCTTCAGCACAAAGACTGCAATGCCACGTACACAACAAATGCAACCGTAGTCCCCGATAAGCCTTGAGAATACAACAGACTCTAGATGCTCTCACCTGCTACCAATCTCGTCATCAAAATAATGGCGAGACCTTCACTTCAGTCTAATTCACTTCCACCTTCTTGCTTCCTAAATTCCAAAACCAAGTCAGCAGGAGAGCTCACACAACCAGAGAACACAACCAGAGAACATGAGAGGGTTGGGTTTTTTTTCAGATCAACGCTTGTCGTTCACACTGATTCCACACACCATCTCAGCTGCTCACCACGAGATTTGAGGCCCAGAAATTACTGTGGGCTCACGTGGAATCATCCCTGGGAACAAGCAGATGCGAGGGTTCCTCTGCCTTCTGTCGGACATCTGCTAAACTATCACCCAGGAACGGTTTCCAGTCACCCAGCTCCTTCCCCCCTCGGTTTCGTTTGCGGCTCACAAACGCCACATCAATCCGTGTTACGCACAGCCAATGGATGGGCAAATCACTCAGGCTTGGAGCACTGGGACATGTGGGAGCTGCCCTCAGGAAAATAACCAGGGAAATCTCTTCCTTGTGCTCAGCAAGAGAAAAGGGCCTGAGCTGGATCCACAGCCTGGGCTGGGCGGGTGATTGATTGTCAGGAAGAGGCATGGCCTGGGTTTGCTTGATAAAGCAGAGGAAGGAGCCAAATGGAGGCAGCTGTCCCAGGGTGTCTGTGGATTTGGGGCAAACAGAGGTTCAGGGGGTCAGGTTTGGGTGGACAAAGAGCTACAAAGGAGCTGGGGATGGGCTAAGGCAGCGGTTCATGAGACAGGCAAAGTCCAGTGCCACGATGTGTCAGATACGGACACGCCGTGTGACCACAGACGGTCGTTTGGTCTCTTTGGGCCTTGGCTTCCTTTGCATTAACTGAGGATTATTGTGCTTGCCCACTATGCAGTGGTATTACTTGTAGAAACACAACCAGAGAATATAAGATTCTCTAGTACGGCACAAAACACGTATAGAGACCCCCTGAAAGAATAAAAGGATTGTTTGGAAATATGCTGCGCAGCTCTTCAGCAGTTGGGCCGTGCCAAAGTGCTGCAGCACACGCACATGCTCTTTTGTGTTTCTAAATCACAGGCAAAAATTTGCTCTCCAGCTCTTTTGTGTTTCTAAATCACAGGCAAAAATTTGACCATTGGTTTAACTCCCCTTGGGATAGAAGATTTTTTTTTTTTTGAAAAACATAAGCTTACACCTGGAGGAATAAAGCCCACACCAGTAGGGCAACTGGGAGGGATTAGCCAGGCATGTTGTTTCCAGTTAATTTAGGGCGGCAGAAGTTTGAGTGAGCTTCAGGTCCCTCCAAGCTTTGTCATCAAGAACCATCAGCCCCGTTCACCCCAAGAAAGCTTGAAGTTGCAATCTGTCCCGCTGGCCACACTGTCACAGAGGTCTTATCTGCAGCCTTCCCGTTGCCACATCAGACCACTAAATCTCAGCTTTTGCTTTGCAGAAGGAGAATGTGCTCGTCTGATAAAACAAGGCATTCGCCAGATCTGAACCAACAGTGGTGGGCTCTACTAAAAGGGCTCTTTTGAGATATCAAAGGGATCCTCACAGAGGCCACATGGTGCCGTCAAAGAAGATATGATTTAGGTTTTAGAAAGAACAAATATTTTCCGAGGATTTAGATCCCTCGTTTGGATACGGTGGTAAATAAATATATATAAAAAATGGTACAATAGGTTCTTTTGGCTTGTAAACTGAAAACCCGATAAAAGTACCATCAATTTCTAAGGTCGTATAGACTCCATCAACACCTGGAGAAAAAGAAAATAGTGATTTCTGGAGAACAGAGAGATGGAGAGCTGGATAGAACGGACTCTGACTCTCCAGCACGGGCAGTGGCAGTGTCAGGACAGGGCGATACCATACGGTGTCCACCAGCACCATCCAGAAAAGGGATTAAGGGGATAACCCAGACCTACCTAAAGTCACACAACTCTCACATTTCGGGGTAGGAGGGAAAAAGCTCAGGATCTGTCGAGGCGCATTTACCATGCCCAGTCGTGAGGCCCGGAATGACAACCCGGTGTTTCCTCTTGGCTCCACCTTCTCAGACACGCTAACGTCAGAGAAAAGCCCATGAGGCTGTCACCTTACTGCATCATTTCATAATCTCGAACCTCTTTATTCAACCCGGATGCCTGCAAATGGTGGGGAGAGCTACGCAGCCCCGCAGAGCCCAGCCAGACGCCGCTTCTGCGGTGTGCGAAAGCACAAAGCCTCGTGGAGCTGCTGCGGGGAGGAGGTGCGAGGGCTCTGCCCCTGCAAGCTCTGCCCGGCAGCAGGGCCAGCACCGCAGCTGAGCCCGCACTGAGCATGTGCCGCCGAGCCCGCTGCTCTAGCACCAAACCCAGGCACCGCGGCCGGGAAAAAACACCTGAGCGGGCAGGGAGGGAAGAGAGAGGACTGGTGGGCTGGGGGAAGCAAGCCCCGTTTCTTTTCATCCCAGGGATTGGTTTGTTTGTTTAAACAAACCCAAGAAAATCTTCCCAAGAGGGATAAGCCCCCGGGCACCAGCTGCAGACAATTGCAGCTGCTCTGCCTTCAGCACGGATTTGCTCTTGCTGCGGATAAAGAAGCAAATAATGAAGGCGGCAAACAAGACTCTTTCCTTAATTTAAGGATTTGCTTGCCTTTTTCTCCTGCCGATCCAGGGCACTCTCCATTCCTGCCTAAGCGCTGTAGGGATGGGGAGCTGCTCCCTGCAAAGGCAGCTGGGCGAGGTTCAGCCCCGCTCCCTCCCTTGGCAGGCATCGCCCTATTCTCTTTCCTCCTGCCACAGCACTGGTTTCCATGACTTTCTACTCCTTGAAATTGTTTCTCTACTTGCCCTGAGCCACAAGGAAGCGTGGTTTCTCTGAAGCACACACTTCTTCATGATCCTAAGTCTCCTGAGACAGTAAAATCACATCTTGGGGAAGCTGAAATACACCATGAGCATGGGGTGGGTTGGGAGGGTGAGAAGGCACCGGTGTAATGCCCACGCGTGTTTCCTCCGCCACCTTGTCCATCTCAAGTTCGATGCAACCTTGGTTTAGATGGCTGGTAAGTCTGATCCATCCCTCCCACCCCCACCCTGCAAGCGAGGTCCAATCCTGTTCTGTAGGAGAGGAAGGCAGATGGGTGGGACCTCCCGAGCGTGCGCTGCCGCACACGTTCATTGAGACAGGGACACTCGCAGAAGCACGTACAATAGCTGGAGATTTTCTATCACAGACACATATTTTTTCAATGCTCCTTTACCATCTTTAATTGCATGCAAAGCCCGCTCAGGATCAGCTGCACCCTTGCACCTCCCTCCATCTCTCTCTGTCCCTCTGCCTTTCCTGGTCTTTCCGAAGGAGAAAGGAATAGAAAATGCACAGCAGGAGACAGCAAAGGCCAGTGAAAGAAGCACGAAGTGTTGCCTGGTCTCCTTCTGGCTGGTTCCCTGCCTGGGGGGGGGCACAAAGCACTGCCCACTTTTCCTTTTTGTTCAGCTCTGTGTCCCAGCCCTCCAGGATTTAGCTTCCCCCGCCCAAGCCCCTCTTTAAGGACTGCAGAATTCAGAGCCATTTCAAGAATAAACTTGTTTGGGTTTTGTTTTTTGTTTTTTTGGGGTTTTTTTTAAAGAAAAAGACCCTCCAACACACACCACCCCCCCAAACTGTTCATTGTACCATTTCAGGCTTTTCTTCTCCATCACCCCCGTTCCCAGTTTCGGCCATTTGAATCCCTCCTCCCCAGTTAGAAGGGCCAAGACACATCTTTAGGAAAGAGCTGGGACGGAAGCAGCGCAGCATCCTCGGGGCAGGCTGCCCTCGCAGGCAAACCCAACCCCGGCGCCAGCCGCGCCGCGACTCCGTTAGTGCTGCAGGAGGGAGGAAGGGCTTCCCTTGCAGCATTCGCTTTCACCCAACGCCATCAGAGAACCGCTCCCCTGGAGCATCTTCCGAGGAAGAAATGTGAGCTGGGAAGAAATCTAGGGATGGGAAACTGAGAATACACAGAAACCCATCCAGGTTATTCTGGTTGGGTTTGGGAGGATTTTTTGGGAGCATTACTGTCAGTGTCTGGTCCATGTTTTTCTTTTCATTACCCACGTAGGCAATACATGATCTTCACAAAATAAAATGTAAATGCGGATTTCTCTGCATCCAGTTACACAGCATGAAAATTTTTCTTGGGGGGGGGGGAAAAGAAGCTGTATCATGTTACAAAAATAATAATTAATTGTCATGCAGCAGCATCTTCTTGTGGCACAATGTAACAGCAGCAATATTTTACATTGGCAAGTTTATCACATGTGTATTCATATTAAAATAAAAAGCCCACCTGCTATCTTGCATCAGAGGGGTGTGTGTATGGGGGAGGAAGGGGAACAATGCTGCCATACCAGCTGCCTCCTCATCAGAGAACTCCTCCGAAACGCAAGGAAAAAAAAAACCCCACCAAACCCAAACCTCAAACCATCAGAATAATGACAAAACAACCAACCGAACAAAAAAACCCCAAAACTGCTGGCTTTCTAAGCGGGTCGATGACAAGCCTCCCCCCCAAAAAAAAAGATGTCTGTCCTACCTGAGACGGTGCTGGCCATGCTGCGGCGGTGGGAGCGGAGCGGGTGCTGCAGGAGCGCAGGGAGCTGCGGAGGTGCTGCAATGCTGCGGGGAGGGAGGACTGACTCAGCTGGAGGGGGCTGCAGCCATCCGCGGCGGGGAGAGGCTGAAGAGCCCAGAGAAAGGGAAGGGGTGGAAAGAAAAAGAAGGGTCACTAGTTCAGAATATTAATTAGCGTATCAGGCCTCCTTTCCTGGGTGGCTTTGACGGCAGATCCCTCCCAGGCAAGTCTGCCTGCCAGAAACACAGACCCGCTGCGGGGGGGGGGGCGAGGAGACACACCCAGCTGAGCTCTGGCAAAAGAGGATTTTTTTTCTCCTCTTCCTCCCTTTCTTGTCTGCTCTAGACGGGCTAAACTGCTTTTTCCTTTGCTGAAAGCAGAAACAAGCACATTCATTGATATTTATTTATTTATTTATTTATTTTTTAAAAAACATCCATTCCAAGGCGGTGCCCACCTGCAGGGCCAGGTCTGGGGTCTGGCTTAGCTAGACAGAGGTGTAAAATCCAAACCCCAAACCTTGCAGCAGCTTTAGGCAAACAGCAAAGGGAGGAGGGATCCCGGGCAGGTTCGGCATTTTTAGATGCAGGGATTTTTTTGTACCAGTGTTGGGGCACAAAAGGGGCTGCAGCTGGGGGGAAAACTGCTGTAAAAGTAGATGAGGAAGAGCAGGACGGAGCCTTCTGATTTCAGTGGGACTTCCCCAGGTTTCTCCGCACCACCTCAGGCATCGGGAGCTTTTCTTTCCCTTTTCAGTTCTGTTTTCTATCATTTCCATCCTTTCCATTTGTGGCTGTTGCTAGGGGCCAATGCATCTGTGCTTTTAGAGTACCAAGACACACATCTGGGACCAGGGCAATCGCCAGCTGCACCCACCCGAGCGGGGCTGCACAAACCCCAGGGATCCTCCCGAGCTCTGGCCCTCTCCAGCCAGACGTTATCCCGCTGGCTGCACATCCCCTCGGGCTGAAAGCACCCCAAATCTCCCAGCACGCTGCAATGCAGACACTCCCAAACAATTCCAGCAGCTGCAGGCAACTACAGGTTGCTCGAGTAGCTTGGCCAGGGGCAGAAGCCGCAGGCACTGCCTACTGAACTCAGTTAAAAAGACAGAGATTTTCCTCTTTTACCTGTTTTTTTTCCCCCCAGTCTCCAAGTGTTCTATTCCTTCAACACTGTATGTAAAAATAATAATTAAAAAAAAAAGTCCAATTCAGAGTAATATTAAAACTATCCACAAATTTTCAAAGCGTGTTGGGAACAGGAGCTTTTTTTATTACCATTAACTGCTCCCGGTTCTGTCCACGGCTCGTTTTGTAGTTGCAACTCTCTCTGCTTTCTCCTTGGGTTGAATCTCTCAGGTTTTACGGGTTATCTTGAAGCCAGCAGGCCGAACTGTACGTGTTCCAAAGCCCCGCTCCCCATTAACAGATGAAGGCAGCTATCCCAGGCACCTGCACGCTGGGATCATTTCCCCGCTCAGGATGAGCTCCGCCTTGGATTTACCCACCAAACCTGAGAGGGTTTGTCTACCTCTTGTGATTATTCTGGATCTTCTGGGCCTAAATCCGGTATGTATTTTATTCCTTTTATTTAGAAAAAGGAACAGAATGCTTCCAAGGTCCCGTGGCATGTGTCCCAGCGGAACACACTGCATGAGAAATGGTTTTTAATAAGGATTTATGTGGCTATGCCACACATCATACACCTCAGCTCCAATATCATTCACACTTTCTAGATAACCTGTCATATAAATAATGTTAATACAGTTAATTCTTGATCTGTCTGCAGCACTGGGCGATAGATCTTCCTTCGTTTAACTGTAACTATCTTTTCAAGTTCTCCCGGATTTTCACTAGGAAGCATCAGAAGGCGCTGGGTAATTTTTTCAACATGGGGATTAGGGAAAATTGGTGAGTATTTGGCTAACGTGCCTTCATCACACGTGACACCTAACCAGGCAGACTATTGGGAAACAGCAGATTTTCATGGAGCATCAGCAAAGAAATTGATTTTGCAGCATGCACTTCTTTCACTGCTTTACTGCAAATGTTTGCAACATTTCTAACAAATATTCCTAAATGCCTTTCAACGTAGGAAGAGCTTCTTCCAATAACCTGTGCTTTCAACAATGCTGAAAACAAAGAAAAATTCCCAAACTGACAGAAAAGATTCTCTCTTCAACACATCCCCAAACAGGGATCCGTACCAATCCTCGTGTTTCGCTACAGGGAACGCTCACCAAGGGCAGCCCACAGAGGAAGTTTTCCAAGCTGTGGTTGTTACCAAAGGGTCATGGGCTCGACACGCTCTTTGAGGCTGCAGGCCTGGCGGAAGCACGGCTTCCAACAAGGAATATTTGGGGAACAATTTTATCTAGTGACTAATGAAATAATATAGGAAGATTAAAATCTTCTGGTCTGAAAGGAGGAGCCGGGGCTGCGATGCAGGAGGCTGTAACCGATGGCACCCAGGCAATCGCAGCGGTGGGAGACCTCCAGTACCATTTGCAGTCTCCAGCTGGGAGAAGCTCCCTTAGTTGGCACGAAATAATAATAATAAAAATCCCACACAGCGCAGCAGTCAACCCCCTGACATTGTAAAATAGTATGAGGAAAAGGAGAAAAAGAATTGAAGGAGAGAAACCAGTGACAGCAACATCAGCATTAATCCAGGAAAATGTTTCCCTGAGGGCAAGAGAAACAAGAGGGTCATTCTGATGTTTCCTCTTTAGCCATTGAGAAATGAGGCCAAGTTGTACAAAGGGTCTGGATGAGGAAGAAGAGGAAGAGTTGTACTGAGTCAGTCCCGCAGAGGGGTAAGGGAAAGTGGAACTCAGGTCACCCCAGGGTCCGCTCAGCTGCCACGGGAACTGCGTGTGCATGAAGTGAGCGGTGCCAAGCTCCACGGCTGAGCAACTGCAAATGGTAATGAGCAGCAAATGTTGAACACGTGAAGCTGTGAACTCTGCTCTGGGGGGGTCCCGTCCAGCCCCCACCAAATCCCTAATCCCATCCGCTTCGGTTCCTTCGTCTGTAAAATGGTATTTACTCACCTTCCTAATAACAGGATGATTGTGATTAAAATGGGAGGGTCAGAGTGGAAAGTTGTTTTTCTTTTTTTTTTTTATTTCCTGATGGTAAAGAGACAGAAAGGCTCTGGATTAGCTGGATTCAGAGGAATCAAATAATTTTGTGGTCAAACAAGAGTTTTAGACTGTTGCTATGGGAACCACCACATCTCCTCCGAAAGACAATGAATGGCAACTTAATCCTCTCCTATCTGAGAGGAGAAAAATAACCTTCACATGAACTGCGGGACTGTCACCGCCTGTCATTGCTGCTCCTCAAACTCTTTTGTCCCATTCCTCAAGATTCTTGCTTGTCTGGGAAGAGAAATCCTGCCTCAGCGGCCTCTGAACACAAATAATGATTGTTCACTTTGTATTTCTGTACTTCAGCTTTCTGCTGGCTGGGTTCTCTGCAGCTCGGTTCAGTCACTCACACCTCCGCTTCCCCACAGAGTTTAAGGATCACCGTTTCCATTTTCTTCCCCTTGAAGGCACCACTTCAAATGAAATACGGTTCATTCAAGATCTTCACCATCCACTAAGGAGCGAGCAGTGGAGACACCCTGGTTCCTGCTGTCTGGGTAGCACGTAGATGCCATTAGGGGTGTAGGGACTGGCCTTTCATAGAGTCCTCTGTGCTGCTCTGACAAATTTTTTAAACCTTTCCTCTTCTCCCTCATTCTCCCTCTCCAAACTCTTGCCTTGTAAGAATTCAGGGTTATTCCGAGGGAGGCAAACACCAGAATGACAATCCAGGCCGAAGACCAACGCCTGCCTTTATCATGTCCGTATCCTGACATAAAGAGCGGCCGTAGCTTCAGCAAACCTTCACAATTCTTTTGCAACCTTAACAAAAAAGGCATTTTTCTCTTTCAACTTACAAAATTTTGTTTCCTCTGCTGTCAGCTTTTAGAGGAAACCGGTGTAGCAATGCTGAAGCGAGACTCGCCAGTGCTGGCACTGCAGCCTTGGTCAAGTAAGGTAAATGGTGCAGAGGAACCACCCTCCAGAAGGACGAAGCGCGCAGCCGGCGCTGATTCATGTTTGCCGCTGGACACTGGCGCATCTGCTGACTCACACTCCTTTTGGGCTTTGGTAACCTTCCAGCTCCTCTCTCTCGGAAGGTAACACTGCCTCAATCAACCTCACTTAAATAAGCTCAAATAATCTGATTTGATCACCACTGATACTCTTCTTCAACGCAGGAAAGATGGATTTACAGGAAATAATGGTCATGACACAGTATTGCACCTATTTATGATGAGTTTTAAACCTTTATCCTCCATTATAAATACCTTATCCCACGCTCTCATTTTACAGCCTTTACAAAGCAATTTCTTTTGCAGCTTAATTCTGCATAACTGGTATCAAGTCAGAGAGTTCACCATCAGAAACACGAACAAAATCAGTCGTTATATTTTACCATGAAGATCCGAAGGTGTAACCCAGTGCTCTCCAGCCCATCCCAGCAAATTCAGCTCAAGGCAACACCCATAATCTCCCCTAATTTAACACCTGGAATACACAGAATGTACCAGAAGTTTGAGAACAGATTATGTAATATACTCGAATTGAAGGTGTGTTCCTTTTGTTATTTTTCTTTTAAATATTAGAACACTTCTACATACTAACAAGCTATGCAGCTTGCTAGGAATAAATGCATTTTAGTTATAAAAAGCCATCACCCATTCTACATCTACACGTAACCCATCTAACAGCATGAGATGCAGCAATGAAGTACAGAGAGATGCATGTAAAATATCTTCTTCCTCATGTAACTACATAAAGCATGGTTTCGCAAAATCCAAACCCTGGGTATCCATTTATTAAAACGCATGGTTTCCTAGTCTTAGGAACAGAGTAATTTAGTTTAGTTTAGTAATTTAGAACAACTGAGTGTTCAGAGTTCACTACAATCACACACATGTGGAACCAACCCTCAGCCTGAGCAACCAAACCGCCGACGCAGCCATTCCTGGCCACGGATACACTGACAGGGAACTGACGGCTGAAAGAATCGTGCTGGAGCAAAGCGGGGAACAAAGGAGCAGCACATCCACCCCTAACAATAGACACCCGTCAGAATTCATTACTGTTCTTAATGCAGAAGCTACAAGGCTCAATGACACACAAACCCTCACATCTTAAATGCAAAGGTTTTCAACAAAGAATCCTGTAGTAGTTTGCCTTC